TTGAAATAAAGTGCCCATTCAGTATAAAGGATAGTAAAATAGCTGATGGATATGGAAAGTGTGACTTTCTGACATTGGAAGATGATTCAATTGTTCTTAAGACTAGTCACAAGTATTACACACAAATTAATTCCCAGATTGCTCTAAGCAATTCTACATGTGGATATTTTGTTGTCTGGACATCCCAAGACATTCTTGTGCAAAACATTGAGTTCAACAAAAATCATTGGGAAGCTGTATCTACAAACTTGGAAATATTTTTTAAAAGTTATGTGGCTGAGAGAATTTTGAGATTGAACCCTATCGAGTTTTGTGGATCATGTGAAAAAGTACTATTTGAAGAAAATGAAATTGCAGAGAATGAACTTGATCTTAGAAGTATTTGTTGTGACCAGTGTAATTGCTGGTATAACCTGAAGTGTCAAGGGCTTGATGATGTTGTGGATGGAGAATGGTTGTGTTTACTTTGTTTAACAAACATTTCTGTTAATTGACAGTATACCTGTCACATTTTAGGAACAGTTAATATTTTTAGACTTTTGTAATTTTGTATTCTTTTATATTTTAACCCATTGAGTGGCAGCACTCTCCCCCTCGCAATTAAAATCATCTGGCTTTAAACAGCAAAATAATAAAGTAGGATACATCTGGGCATTGAGACTTAAAGGTTTAACCTTTACCTTAATCCTAACTCTTACTAATCCTAACCCTAATCTTAATTCTAATCCAAACCATAATCCCAATCCAAACCATAATCCAAACCCTAAAAGTCTAAAAATAGTAACTGTTCCTAAATCATGACTTATATGATTAAAATCACTGTAAAACCACTGTAAAACCACTGTAATATTTCTGCATTCCCTTGAATAAAGTCTTGGGAAATTTATGTGCAATTCATGTGTCAATGTCAATTTTCTCAGCTTGCAATGGAGGAAATAAGTTCACTAATGCACAACATATTATAAGAATGTCATCAACCAATGGCAGTTCCAACATAGTAAGTTCCGTAGATAAAATTCTAAACCATTTAACTCTTGCAATGGCTTTTTCAACAAAGATTCTTACATTGGCAACTTTACTTGTAACAGCGACATCATCTGATATCATTTGATTGCCTTTAGCTGCACTTGGAGGGATTGCTAAATAGCATCTCTTCATTGTGAGGTCTGACTTTATCTTAAACCCCCTGTCTGCCATAACAGTGTCATAAGGTTCAAGTAAGTCTAAAAATCCAGAGTTTCTAACAATAAAAACATCGCTTGTCCTTCCACCATAACATGGAGATATCCATGAAACTGCTCCATTTGGTGTGATGGCTATTAAAAACTTGAAAGTGTAATGGTGCTTGTAATCACTCCAAAGACATGCACCAACCTCCAGAGATGACGGCGTCTCCAAAAAAACTTCTGAGCAATCAATGATGACTCTGACTTTTGGATAAAAGCGTTTGAAGGCATCTGGTAAAGTAGCATATATTTGACCTTTAGATGGCCATATAATGAGGTGCCGTAGTTCTTTCGATAAAAGCTTGACCCAAGTTATCCAGATTTGAGAAACTCTGGTGGTTGAAATTTGAAATCTAAAAGCCAAGTCCTTAATGAGCAATCCCAGACGCAATCTCATGACAGTTAATAAAAATTCTTGTTCTAAGGTAGTCTTTCGCTGAGGTCCTGGTTTGTTAATGGGCAATACAGATCCTTCCGCATACACATTTGATAATATTATGGTATCAATTCTTTGCTGATTATGTTCTTCTCTCTCTACACCGGAACTTCTTTTTACACCTTCCCAATATTTCATCAGTCGTGCTCTTGGCACTAAAAAGTTGAATATTTCTTGGAAACTTTTTGTGCTCTCAAACCCAGTAAAAAATCTAACATCACTTTCTCTAGTAATTTGAGCAAACTGCATTGCAATGGCAATGTTGACATTATCAATAGCAGGAATAGGGTTTTCTGAACATTCCTCCTGTTCATCCATTGTTGAACATGAGGGCTGAGGGCTGCATGAGGAAACTTTTCTTTTTTTTGAAGGACTCTCTCGTAAATTTAATTTTTTTGGGTGTCGGTAGTCATCTAATGTCAAATAAAGTATGGGATTTGGATTTTTATTGGTGGGTTTGCCATCTGGAAAATGGTTTGAACATATGCGGCTGTTATCAGTTGGAACAAACTCACATCTCCCTTTGGCCACAAGTGAAGCCCACTTCCTTTTTCTATCTTCGTCTTTCGTAGGAAAGCGGTGCCATTTTAACTCTTCAACATGTTCCATGACAACTAATCTTTTAGGGCATCGTTTATCATTGTCACAGGGTCCAACGCAACATCGATCAGCGCGAACCATGTTTTTTAGCAACAAAAAATTAATAATTCATTATATTTTTATCATTCGCCATCTTGGGTTCAAAGTCCAACTTGCTACCCACGCAAAATGGCGGCGATAACCCGGAAATCGTTTATATAAAATAGTCTCATCGCAAATGGACTCTGACTGTTAAATAAAATGCTTTTAAAGGTAAGATGAAAGTTTGATCACAAATAACAATGTGTATTGGTCGATACGCGTTGAAACTTGAAGCGAATGAATTAACTGTATTTAAATTATTACATTTTTAGGTGCATATAAGTCTTCATAGTAAACAAGTGGACTTCGTCGATATTTTATATCAGTTTGTAAAAAATCTGATTGAGCTTGATCGTAGGCTTGATGGAACATCGTATTTCTAAGGGATAAATAATCACAGAGAGAGTTTGTTATTGTTATTTTGGCAATATCAATTGAGGCATTGAGCAGTATCGTAAAATTGTCTGTCTTGCACAAAGATAGTCCTATAGCAACGCAGTGTGGATTGTTGTCTGCACATATTAACTTACCAGCAGTTACATGTAAATAACATGTCAACCGACGTTTGTAAAAGGTATGACGGTCGGTAAAAATGTATCTCTGAGATATGTCCATTGTTTAATAGCATATATAATATGAAATTATCCTACCAGCCTAGATTTATATATTCACCTGGCTGTCACTACAGTACTCAGAGACAGAGTATACTATATTTTTTTATAATGCTCACAATCGTATTATTTAGTTTTGCAGTTCTGACTGAGTACAATCTTAGGGGCTGATTACATGGAGAGTTTTCAGCCGGGCTGAGTTTCAGCCGGGTTATTAAAATGAGCTGAAATTGCATCACGATTACATGAGCAGTTTGAGCCCGGACTGAGTTTAGTCAGAGCTATGTTTATAGTCAACCCGGGCTGAAATGTCAGACCGGGCTGAGTGAAATAATCTGAGTGTCACGAAATAGGACAATAAGCCTGTTATGCTTCTTTGAAGCAATCAGATGCTGATTAGTCGACTATTTGACTTGTGTGAGACTGTGGTTATATGTAAAGTATTTAAAGATGAAACAAACATGCAAAATAAAGCCATTTAAACGGTTGTATTTTCAGCCTGGGCTCCATCAAGCATCAGCAGATTGTTCAGTTGTTTTGCAATAGGGGTAGCCTTGAAGGTGTCATTATTGCATTAAAACGATAATTGGAACAAAAACTAACTTAATATTTCTATATATGGAATTATTATTAAATTCTACATGTCAAATGATTCATTCAAGTATTATCGTTTATATATATGTAGAATGATTTTGTACAGTATTCAGTGGCAAGCTAGCTACCATGGCAACTGGTCATGCCACGCCAATAAACCTGTATCTATTTGAATAATGCAAATCATTATATTAAAAGCTCGCATAGCGTGACCTGTTGCTATGTCAGCTTCACAGGCTGACAGTGTTATAATTATACATACAAAAGCAAGAAGTTATAAGCATTGAATGTATTCATATACATTTAGCTGATCTTTCGACTTTTCCTGTTTACATGATGGAAGTTGGGATGATTTTTGATGTATTGGAATAAGTCACTAGGCTAAACAAAAGTTCAAATGCTTGTTAACAGAACTCAAATATTGTAGACAAGATCTTGTAGTTCAAAAAGATTATAATTGCTGCTTGAACAACCTTTCGTTTACAGTAACTATAATCTATCTCTAGAAAAGTAATGTTTTTTGCTGAATTGTGCACTGTGACTCATTTCAATACATCGAAATCATCCTGCCTCATATCTCGTCCTGGCGAAGCGGGATCGTATAAACAGACCCTTATTCAGCAAATTGAGCATGGTGCCATCCCTTGGGGGTGAGGCAGCATTTTCCTTGCGATAGTAACTTCTAGTAAGAGGAATAATCTATTGAATCCTAGGCTTCAAGATTGTATGATTTCTTCGCCCGTCGGCTTGCGCAGGATTTTTTGAGTAACATTAGGGATTTATTTCTGCATGTGCTTTCCTTCAACGAACACTCGACCACGCCCCATGACTACTGACTCGTTAAATGACCACTGACTCGTTAAATCCTACGATGAATGCATGGTTAAAACTCGAGATTGAATAACGTAATGAAAAGACATAGAACTAAAGGAAATTAAACGTACTATTCCCTAAACGGTTATAGTGTTGGCACTACACGACAATAACTGCTACGCATTCTCCGACCAAATCACGTGCGGACTAGATGGATCACATTCCTTGCCATTCTCTTGCAGCTTATTGTTGTCAGGATTCCTCTCTTCCATAGCATTCCTCTCTTCCATTTCAAATCCAATTCCATTTTCTCCATGTCCATCAGTATCATTTAGAGTACAAGGCTTTCCTAAAGCACTCCTCATTTGTTTGCGCATTTCATCTCGTTTTCTATCATCCCACTGAAGAAAAGTGACATCCGAAATGAACGATTGAAGCGATTTTGGCAATTGTACTTTCTGCATTTCGATCAACATAACGACAACTAGTGTGTTCGGCTTTTCGATAGCGCGACGAAGTCCTTGATCGACTTCGAATTTGCACCATTCACTTTCGAGGAATTTTGGAGTAACAATGGTCACAATGCGACGACTGTCGTATATGGAGTCTATTATATTATCTTCAATTCTTCTACCAGGAACAAATTCTCGATAATGTAAGGATAATTTGTAACCGCATTCGTCCTCCAACATTGGTTTCAACGTCGAACGTACAAATGATCCGCCGTCTGTTTCGCTGTAAAAGATGAACGCGTCGTAGCGAGCAGCAACCTCTAAAGCAAATATATAATATTTTGTTACTTTATAAGTTTATACATACAAAGACGGTCGCTATATCCCATACACAGTGAAATTTTAATGCAATTGGTTCAGCAGTCATGATCATGGTCAAAAAAAGCATACAATAGACTGCGAGTTAAAAGGAAGTCACTCGATTAGTTAAGAATGTGAAACATTTGTTACATTAACAAGACGCCGACTCGGCGTTAACCTCGGGTCGGTGGATAGGGGATCGTCTGGTAAATATCCAAAAATTGTGTAAATCACGATAGTTTAATAGTTCACTAGTATAAATGGTGAATCAGTTAATCAAAGCTCCGTTTTAATATTTTATTGACAATAATTACTGGCCCTAGCCTCATCAAACCTATTGTTTTCTCTCTGCATTATATCAGCGAATGTCGAGAAGTTTTCATTTAACGTTCTACTGAAAAACGGGAGCGGCCTTTTTGGTTGTATAGGGAAATTCCGGCTCAGGGGTAAATGTTTATACGCGTCATATTCTATATACACGTTAAAATAGCACACAACATTATTCAAAATAATGCAGCGCGCATCAGTGCACACAGACATTATTAGCAATAATGCATCTTCGTCACCCTGACATGTACACGCGATAACGTGAACATCCCAAGATGAGATAGACTTGCTCCAAGTCTCTCTTTGTGGACATCTATATATTGTACATCTATATTGTACGTTACATGACGTACCGCTGAGGGGGAGAGGAGGAAAGAGAAGAGAGACTTGTAACATCTGGCAAGCAGACATACTTCCGGCTGGTCA